TTAATCCCCGCCACGCGCACATAACAAGCCGAGGCTACCGCCGGTAGGGGATTTGAATTAACATCCAATGACAGCCTTTACGCTTACTCGGTCTCCGACTCATACACCGGCACACTCTTCCCCGCCTCGTTCCTCTCGTCTCGTCAAAGGTCTCCTGCATCCTCCTTCTGTCTCTTCTGCGACCGACGGCTGCAGAGGCTCTAGCCGACCGCGCCAGTTGTGGTCCGTTATTCGCTCGGCGCGGTGGTCCCTCACCGGCCGTCGCGGGTAACCTCTCGGCCGTGCACGTAAACAAAAACCCATACCTATAGAGAAGCGCGCGTGCATCGCGTTGACCACAAACTCACCCGGGAGCCGTCTCTGGCCGCGCGCGACCCACCCCGCGAGTCCACTCACGCTGTGTCAGGTCTCTCTCCCTCCACGCTCATCCACTCCCTGTCTCTCTCCGCCTCTTCTTCCTCTCCACATCCTAGCTCTCTCCTCCTCTCTCCCCGCCGGCCTCCGGTTTCCCTATCTCAATCTCCTTTCTCCCTCCTCTCCCTCGTCCTGCTCTGTAATCTCTTTGCTCCTCCGGCTTCCACCCTCCTTCGCCTCTCGCTCGCTCGGTCTCCTCACCTCCGTCCTCCTCTGTCTGTCCTGTCTCTTCTGCTGTGTGCTCCCCTCCGCCTTCTCCTACTCCCTCGTGTCTCTCTGTCTCTCTCCCTCTCCTTCTCTCTTTCTCTCTCTCTCTCTCTCTCTCTTCCTCTCCCTCTCTCTCTCAATGTTTCAATTCAAAGAGCTTTATTGACATCAACAAAAGCATGTTGCCAAATCAACTCACAATAGTTTAATCTGAGAGTTTTAATCTCAGTTTTATATTATTGTGAGTAAGTAAAGGTTATAAACAGGGTTGGGAGGTTTACTTTAAAAATCTAATCTGACACAAATACTAGTTACCTGTTTAATATCACATTAAAGTAATGTAATTTGATTACTTTGTTACTTTTAGATTACCTGATCATCAAATGTGCACAAAACAACCCAAAAGGAAATAAATAAGAAGTATTGACAGACGTTTATTCTATAAGACAAATAACTGTGTCCTGTGAACTGTGTGAATAAAAACTGATACTAAAAGCTTCATAACACATTGAGGTGCACTTTCTGTTCTACTTTTTACTGCATCCCAATTATCTGACAGCTTTAGTTACTACGTTTAATGTATTTTATGGTTCCAGCTCGTCAAACATGATGATTTGCAGCTTTTGCTTTTCAAAAATGTTCATTCGGTTTTAATAATTTTGGATGTTTGGACGATTAAACAAAACAAGGATATTGAAGATGCACTTTTGGGCTCTGGGTGATTTTATCAGCAGTTTTTCACTCATTTCAGAATTTCTACAAACCAATCAATCAATCAACCAACCAATCGAGAATCTAATGACACTCAATAATCATTAGTTGCAGCCTATAAAGTTAAAAATGAGCTCCACCTCAAGCAACAATAACAGTAAAATCCTGTTTTTATATTAATGAATGAGTATTTATAATCTAATGTGTATTAATAGTATAAAAGTAAGAGGGGACATCATTTCTGCATTTTAAGTTTTAATACTTAAAGTAGGACTTTAACATGTAACGGAGTATTATCACAGTGTGGTATTAGTACTTCTCCCTCTGAAGGATCCTCCTCCTTTAACGCAGTGTTACTGTATTACGTGAAGGTTGTAAACAGTCAACCTCACTTTACTTTTTACTCCTCACTCTCCCGAGCAGCAGAGGTCAGACGGTGTAACGGTGTCTGATTACACACACACAACCTCGGTGAGTCTCTGCATGAAAGCGAGGCAGGTTCATTGACTCTATACCGTGTGACCTTTAGCTCCGAGGTGGATCAGATAAGTGGACGCATTGCTAGGGAAGTTTTGGCAAGCACAAACAGTTCGAGTTCAAAAACAACAAAAAAAAATGGGAAAACCCAAAGTTCGGTTAGAGTCTAAGTTGTGCAAGTCTTTGAAGTGCTCTCTTTCATCTTCTCTTTCATGGCTCACGGTCACTCTCAATGATACACAACACTACGCTGGTTATATGTAAATGTAAAAATATGTTGGTGTCATTAGGGAAAAATACAAATCATGTTTCCAGGAGCAGATAATGTATCTAACAAAAAACAGTCCCCCCCCTCTCTTGTGTGTGAATGTGCGATGACAGACTCAAAATGCCCATTGAAGGGGAACAGTGGTCTGCAGTGTTTGCCCCGTGAACAGAGCCCTGCAGTGACTCCTTTCAGTCAAACACCCGCCACTGTTCCCCTGCTCTCACACACACACACACACACACACACAAATACATCACAACCAGAAAAGGGTTTACAAAACAAAAATCTTGTTTTATTCTCCTTCTGCCATGTAGGAGTTGTATTACATAGATGGTTTGTACATGAGAAATAAAAACAATGAAATATCCAATTCATACATATAGTATATCTTTTGGTAGTGAGATCCATTCATGCACTGCAAATTATCTCTCTCGCTCTCACACACACACACACACACACATACACTCTCTCTCTCTCTCTCTCACACACACGATGCATCCACACTCTTAATCCTTCCTTTAAAAGACTGCAGGTATTTTGCTGTACAGACCGTCCTCCTCTGGTTAACTTGGACTTAGCATGTTTGTGCCTCTCATGTATTATTAGCATTACAGCTGAGCTCTGAACACACACACACACACACACACACACACACCTGGTGATATTTGATTTACCCAGAAGGTCCGTTAACTGAAATGTGAGGATCGAACTGTTGTTAATAAAAGTAAGAGTGACGGACTGTGTGTGTGCGGGAAGAGTTTTTGATCCGAAACACCTGCCACTAAGACTATTTAAGCTAGTTTCTAAGATGCAACTAATCCTTTCTGGGTAGCAGGAAATTAATTATCTCCTTGGTTTGCATGACATAAGAAAAATATAAAAACTTGTATATAAAAACTTGTAATAAACAGCAGGGCAAATGTTGTATATCTAATAATGAAACCTGAATTTTTGTTTAATAAAATACAAATTAATATATATGTAACATATGTCATTTTATGGCTAACAACTTTGTTTGGATTAAGAAAATAAGAGTTGCAGCTTTTGAAACTAATAAAAATCTTTATTATTGCGAAGTAATAATAAAATATCTGTCACTCAGATGTTAGAAGAGGCTCTGATGAGTTTGGAAATATCTTTAGAGCGGCAAATTGTTAAAAGACCTTCTGGTTTTTTAAAGATCACCACGTATTTTCTCTGTTAAAAATATGAATGTTTAGCACTCTGGCTTGAATGTAATGAAATATTGGCATGAGAGGCAAAACTTTGGGGCTAGGTTGGACCCAGTTTTTGCCCAGGACATACGACTCCTGGCACTTCAGACCGCAGTTATACGATCCCCTTAGGTTGTCGAAACCAGCGCCTGCAGCTTTCACAGCATCGAAAAGACACACAAGCATTTGGAAAGAGCTTCTTGCAACAATCAAAGCCAGCAGCCAAACACACCAAACTATGCCAGGAAATCTTTAGGGATCAAACCTGGTTCACTGCTCTCTGGCAAATGAAAAATTTCCAGGGTTCACCTGCTTTTCATGTGATCACAGTGCTGACACGTTTTCTGTGCCGTCTGTTTGTCTGTCAGCAGGACTGCGGGTAAAATAAACTACTGGCCCGACATTGATAAGACTTGGTGGAAGGGTGTAACATTGGTCAATAAAGGAAACCCATTATATTTTGGAGCAGATCCGAGATCAATTGTAACAGCGGTATCTATGGCAAAATTAACTGAATTCGTAGCGCATGCGTGAACCCGTCGTAAAGTGAATGAACGGAACATACAACAACAAATGATACACACCTTCTACTACTATTATTTAGAGGTGATTCACCCTTACAGCTGTGCCTCAGCCTTCAGGTATCCTTTAACATTGTACATGTAAATCTGGGTTATTTATCGCTGTCAAAGAAGATTTGGAAAAACATGTTAAGTTGAATTTTAAATGAGACCTGGAACAGAGTGCTGTTACACCAAGACGTGATTATCTGTATGCTAACATGCTTTGAATGATGACGGTACACATGAAGCATATCGAAAAAAGAAAGAAAATCACCTAAAAATGAAATATCTTCCAAACTTGTCTGGCCTGGAGCCCACTTCAAAATAAATACTTGTGCCTTTGCAAACAGGCACGGACTTATTTCAGTGCTTCAAAGTAACAATATCAACACAAATTGCACGAAACTAAAACCTCCAAACTTTTATCTGCATCGAAAAAAGGTAAAAGTCACCGCTGTGACCAAGCAATGAGGATGTCGACTGTGCACTTAACGGATATGGATATCTGGCCTCTTAAACTCAATTTAAACAAGATCCTTTTAAATGTGTGTTGGGGTTGTGTGTGTGTGTGTGTCTGCAGAGTGAAACTGGGATTTCAACGGTGTGTTAATGTGATTGTGAGTCTTAGTCCGGCTATTGACTACGGACGATTTTAGAAAAAAGATCCGAGATTCCTAATAAAAACTTTCATTTCAAATATTATAATTTTTTCCAGGCTTTTTGAAATTAAAAAAATGTACAAAAATCGACAAGTTTTGTTCTTCCTAAAAACAACTCAGCGCTGTACATGTGATTGTGCTTTTGAACACATACTCGCACAGTCCAGCTGTCATGTTCCTATGATCACACAGCGACCCACGTTCTACAATTTCACATATGCAGATATGTTCCTCTCTTCATGCTCCGCTTCAGCTGCGCGTGCCAGTTTTTTCCCGCCCCCCCACCCCTCCCCAATCGTCCATCGCAAACATGCTCTGCAGGTTGCCCATACGAACCCAACGACCCAGCCTCCAAGCACTCTCACCTGGTTTCAGCGGGCGTCACCGACCTGGACCAGATGGCAACACATGAACCGGCCTCTCGATGCTTGTATTAACCAGCTTTCATGCGTGTGCGGCTTTTCCATCAGTATCCGTTCCAAAAATAAAATCACCCGTCCTCTGGGTCAGGTGCGACAAAATCATCTGTCTGGTCTGAGCATCCGCTCCCGACATGGACCCGTGTCTGATCCCGCTGCAACCTAGCTGTTTTCACCAGGACACACTCAACTGGCCTATCATGGCATTCAGGTCTCTATCGGTTGCCCGATGGTTACGAAAGCGTCTACTCTTTCCGCCAGCAACATCTCTTTCTTGGGTGTCATCTGGGGTTCGAGTCGGTCCCCTTCCAGCTCCCGTGTTAAGCCGTTGATGCATTTTCTGTCATCGTCCTCCTCGTCTGGACGTGAGTCCAGGCATGTGTCCCGAGTCACTCCTTAGGGGTATTGTGGGGGGCAGAGGTCTCCTGCCACCACGTTGGCAACGGTGCGAGGATCTGGTCCGAGTACCCTAGACGGTGATTCCTCCTTCGTGTCGGCTGTGTGGGGTTCTGCCTGGAGAGAGCGGTAGCAGTTTTATTCATGCAGCAGAAGGAACTACATACCCATACATACATACTAACTAGCTAAGGGGCCCGTCCACACAAGTACGTTCTTTTCAAATCCTGCATAAATGGACGATTATCGTATCTCGGCCTCGGTCCCAGACAATACCGTTTTGTTTTCCGGGGTGTCGAAAAACTGGTAATCTGTCTTTGAGAACGGGCCTAGAGTCCGGCCGAAAAATCCTAAAACGCTCAATAGCTGCGGCCGAATGCGGATTTTTCAGAAACAGTCGACGTATTCCAGGCCCCCGCCTCTTTAACCTCTTGCCTCAGTCGCCCACCACCGCTAGACGCGTCATAATAATAACGGTGGACTACAGCGCTTGTGCACAATGAATGACTTTATCCACGCATGCTCCACTGGCTTCTTTTTCCGGTTTTGAGTATACTTGGCTGTCGGCGGCATCACAACGCGACATACCAGCCTGGCATCTGTATCCACAGCGTATTGGGTGACGCCGCCGCGCTCATCGTCGCTGGCGACAGTCCAATAAACGGTCCCAAAATCCCACCGCAACAACCGCGGAAATCGTCCTCTCTCCGGCTCACATTTCTCTCCCCTCTCGCCGCGCCCGGCGTATAGGAGACTAACAAACACGAAGAGAAAAAACTCAACAACTTCTAAGACGTACAATAGAAATCACAAAAAAACCAGCATAAAAAAAATAACAAAAATACACATAGACAACAAGCGAAAACAGACAACACATTAAAAAAAAAAACTAAAAAAAATAAATATAACAATATGACACAAAGAATACAAAAGAAAAACACAGAAAGCCCCATTCATCGACTGACGCCTCTACACTCCCACTGTGTAGTATCTAATGTTGCGAAAACTGCCCCTGGATGTTACTATATCCGAGCTAGTGGTCAACTTTTTCAGCCCTGCTCCGTCCCGTCTGTTGTTCTGTTTTACGGCACTCTTCTACAAAGCCTTTCTGTCTATCTAAATTAAAAACATACACGTTAACATACTAAACAACCGTAGTGCACGCCTACACAGCAAGCCAAACACACAGATGCTTCCAGACCAAGAAATAACCTAGTCCATTTTTTTCGCTCTCTGTATCGTCTCCCAATAACCAATACTGGGACTAACTAGCCCTACACTGAAATACTGTACAACACTGCTGTGCCTTTATTTACATTTCTTCTACATGGATCATTAACAGGATGCTGACTTTTCGTGGGACATGCAGCTTTACCCTCAGTCAGTCTTTTTGCACAATATCATGTATGTAGCCATTAAATCAACCTTTAGAACCACTTTTAAGGTTTCTCGTTTTAAATCGAGGTAGCTGGATAAATGATCATTCAGAGACGGTTTGTTCAACTAACTCATGGAGGTAAAGTTAACTTGATTAGTCGACAATGGCGGGTAAAATGTGCCAGTAACAATTGTCGTTTCCGTTGTGGTCGGCAAGAAAAGAGAAGTCGGCTTTTGACTACTTCTGTCTGAAAACAAATATGCATGCATCTCGCGAGAAGGTTACGAAACCAGATCTGTCTTTATTTTCCAGCTAACAACAAAGATGAAAGCTAGCTTTAGCTTTAAGCTTGTCCCCTGTGTTGTCTTCGTAACTAATACTGTTTGCTCCTGTTTTCTTCCGATATTTCTTGCATGTTTGAAGACGTCTTGCCACTTTTAAACAGAATGGTATAAGGAGTGCTTCTAAATTACATTAGATACCCTCTTCACTCTCATTTTTAAAGTCATGAGAACATTTACTGTTGTTGGAGAATGTTTGATCGGCGTGCCACGAGCTTAAGTAGGGCAGAGAATGCTCTATTTATCAATTTAGGAATAGAGAGATGGATTAACTGATTGCTACCTTGCTGCGGTACAGGATGAACATGTTTGGTGCGGTGAGCTCTGGAGTTTGCGCGGCTGGAGACAACGGAGGGTGGAGGGTCGAAGAGCTTTTCTTCCATCTTGGCCTCTTTGACGAACACACAAGACGTCCCCAGCAGAACGATACTGTTGAGCACCTTCAGAGTGATCATCCTGCACACACAAACACACACAAAAACATTACAAACTACATACAAACATTAAGAAACAGAGAACTAATAACACTGTAAATGTGTGCTCAAAACTTGGAAAAGCCAACTTGACATTTACCCCAGGTAAAACAGCAGCACACACATAAAGGAGAGTGAACCCTGGATCTTCACTGAGCTGGTCACTACTCTGATCAACTGAAGAAAGAAACACAAACACGTCATCAGATGTAAAGTGTATACAACATTAGAACATACACAATGAATATCAATGGATATCGTCATTAAAACGTGACTGACCAGCAGAGCTAAAGGCAGAGGGATGAAGCCCATTCTTCTGGATACTGAGTCACTGTAGTCTGTGTAAGCCTGGAGACACATTGAAGACATTTTCTCATAATGCATCAACAACCAACATTACTCTTTTCTTCCCCAACCAATGCATAAACCATTACACAACAACAGTCAGTCAAAAAGGAAAGATTAGAGGACATTTCCTCAATATTGCAAGTCTTGAGGAAACTTCGTATCTCATTTATGAATCACTTTCCTGCATAACAAGCGACCCTACATGGGATTTTGAGAAACTCCGGTCTACTTTATATATATTTTTGTACTTTGAAAGTTTGCATAGATTTGGGTGGACAGTTGGGTGGAGACTCAGCTGATATTTGAACTTATTTCACTCACATTTTTCTGTCGACTACTGACAAGGTCAAATGCAAGGCTGGCTCTGTATTCCCCGTATACCTGGAAAATGAACAACATTAGTCAGGCAGGAGTATAAACATTAAAAACACCAAAGATATATACAGTTACTGACATAAAAGAAATGAGCAGAAGGTATCTGTGTTATAATGATGATAGATGATAAATGTTAACTTGTTTATTTAAAAAAAAAAAAAAAAAAAAACAAAAGCTTGCCTGTTGGGCGCTCATAATCTTGAAATCATGATAAAAGTTAAAATTTTTAAAAGTTGAAAAGTCAAAGTGCAACGGATTAAAGCTGCAGTAGGTAACATACACAGTGCAAAACCTTCTGTGACTCTCTGTACTGCTCGTATCACTCTGCTAAGCCCCTCCCACCAAACCCGCAGTACAGCAGGAGAATCGGGTTGCCCTGCGAAACATCATGACGGTGAGAGCTTTCTGTCACCAGACCCCAGTCCCTCTCATCATGACGCGTCTTCTCAAAGACACCTATCCTGCGACGTGTCTAACAGTGGTATTAGAGGATGGTATGGGCATTATTTTCTACAGTCTCAGCAACAACCT